GCTTGAAGTTCGCCTGGGCATAGAGCAGTGGATCTGCCATCACCACCACGCCCGCCTTGCTCACATCCTTGATGCCCATTGTCTTGCCATTCAGCAGGGTGACCACATCGCCCGGCTTCACCGCCATGCCCGACGGCATATTCTCGCAGAGCGGCAGCACTGCACTGATGTTCAGGGGCAGCGACAGCGCAGCTGCCGCCCGTATGGTCGCCACGCAGACAGCGGCGCCGGCCATGCAGCCGCGATAGAGCTGCATGCACTTCTTGGGGCGCAGGCAGAGGCCGCCGCTGTTGTAGGTGATGCCCTTGCCCAGCAGCAGGATGGGCTTGTCCTCGGGCGCCGTGCCGCAGTAGTTCACCTCCAGCACCACGGGCGGCTCGCAGCTGCCCTTGGCGACCATCAGAAACGAGTTGAGGCGATTCTCCTCGATCCAGTCCATGGAGCGTATGTCGACGCTAACGCCGCACGGGCACAGTGCGTCCACCGTGGACTGGGCGAATATGGTCGGCGTCATCTGGTTGGCCGGCGCATCGCTCAGGCGTCTGGCCAGGTTCTGCGACTCGGCCTTGAAGAGACCGCGTGTCCAGGCATCCATTTCCGGTGAATCGTACAGCTCCAGTTTAGGTATTTGTGTGCGATCCTGCTTCCGGCGATTGCTATTGTAGCGCCAAATGGCCAGGGCGCTGCCCTCGGCTGCTTGCTCCGGATATTCCATGGAGTCCACATAGACCTCGTTCACGCCCTGCAACTGCAAGGCTCGAGCGCCCACGCCGGCGGCGACACGCGCATTCTCCATGCCCTCGTCAATCATCTCCAGGTCGTTGTACCCGGCACCCTCCTGGCCCAGCCCCACCACGGCAACGGCACTAAACTCTGGATCCACATTCATGAAGACCATCCCCTTGCCCAGATCACCCTTCATCTGGGTCTCGCGCACCAAATCCGAGATCTTACCCTGTGCCCGATCGTCGAACTTCTCCCCGCTGGACGTCAACTTCGGCTCCCGCTCGCCCTCCTTGCTGTACACGCCTATCACCACGCCCTTCACAACGCAGGGCTCGTCGCACTTAATCGCGAAATGGCGAAACTGACCAACGCTCGACATGCAGCCGATCGGGCGCGGAATTCGCGTGTCCTCATAGCCGCCGGCATCCTTCCAGGCCGTGGTCACGCGAATCCGCTTGTAGAAATGCACGTTTCTATGGAACGCAATGGCCACACGATTTGCCAGCATCATACTGTTTAGTCTTTACAAGTTTACGTTGTCTAAGAACTGTATTAGAAGTGTTTTGTTTTACTAATAATCTCTTCCGAAAATTCTACTGATACGAATGCGAATATGACACTTGTGTGAAGCCCAACGGAATACTATACAATACCAGTTGACTTGTGTAACTTAGCCTCCTCAATTTAAGCAATTAAACATAGGAGTAGGAGTAATATGTCAGCTAAATATTTCTATGGGAGATATAACTGTATATTATTATAGACAAAATATAAAACATAGATATTGTATAAAATAAACATGATTCTATATGCAAAATTTGAGGACTCGAACTCTAAGGATGTATTTTGATAAGGTATTTAATCAATAACACCTAAATGCGGATATTCATGGATTTTATATTCCTTATATAACAAAAGCATTATACCCTGATTTCCCCATTTTTAATGAGTTCAGATTATAATAAAAGTATTAAATATATTGAAGTATTTTTTTCCACCAACTGTTTTTATAGACTCCGAATTTTTATGATTTTAACACTTGTTGGAGGCTAATCCAATTTTTCTTTATAATTATATAGAATATAGGATTATATAAACACATTAATATACTTCAGCAAAAGAAGTGTTCCAGAGAACTAACAAAAATAAATATTTACTTGGATTGGATTGTTTAATTGAGCTGTCAACACATAGATTACATAATTGAGAACACATTTCTACAGCAATATTCTTCTATATTCTTATTCCTCATCGGAGTCCTGCTGAGTGCTGGGTTTCAGGCCACCGAAGACCTTGGCGGGTATTGCCTTTTGTTCGAAGCGCAACTTCTTCATGATGAGACCCTCTGCATCAGTTTTCGTAGCTGCAGCTGAGTCGCCCTCTGGCGCCTGCTCTGCACCGTCTTCTGCCTCATCTTCATCGTCGTCTTCGTCGTCGCTGTCGCCGATATCGATCTCATCCGGATTAACGACCGTATTGTCCTTGGTCTTGGAACCGCCTTGCGTTTCGCCACGCACGAACATAATATTGGAGGAAGCCGTTTGGCTGGGCTTCTGCTTGGCCTCGGCTGCCGCTTGTCGCGCCTTCTCCTCCAGCATGCGCATGGCATCCGAGCCAGAGCCAGCGCCCGCATCGGCTGCAGCGCCGCTATTCGTATTGAGGAATTGAGCCGCCATCATGTTGACCTGCGTGTTGTAGGTGGCCTGAACCGAGCGCTTGATGCGCAACATCTCACGCATTGTGTCCTCGTTGCCATGACGCACCTCGAACTCTTTCCATGTCTGCCAGAAATCGGCGGTAATGCGAGGATCGCAGACCTAAAGACGATGTATTTATTATATTTAGATTTGTTTAATATATTGATGATAATTCTCATATGACTTGCCTGTGAGCAATGCGAATAGATGGCTCTGGCGCGATCCACCTCGCCCAGCTTTGTCTCCAGCTCGGCGAACTTGACGCACATGTGCCGCATGTTCTGCTCCGGCAGCGCCTCAATGGCCTTCTCATAGATCTCACGTGTGCGTGGCAGTCCGTAAATTTCGGCTGCCTTCTTGATAAATATGTTGTACATGTCGAACATCTCGTCCTCTTTGACGGCGCTAGTCGCACGGTCGTACACGGCCATGGCATGTCGCGCCAGACCGTGCTCCTCCTCCAGCTTGGCATAGAGCAAGTAGAAATACTTGGCATGCTCCGGCGGACAATTGTCCAGGCATTGCTCGAAAAGATCGCGAGCTCGCTCCAGCTTGGTGCCACCATAGCGCTTCAGGAACTTTGTCAGATACGAATTCCATATGTCGTAGACATTCGGCCATTTGAACAGCGCAATGCCCTTCTCGTATGCACGATAGGCTTCCTCATAGTAGTTGTGCTCCTCCAGGAACAGGCCGTAATTAATGATTATTTGTGGCGTGCAAATCTTCAGGTCAATGATGCGCTCGTACACAGCCTTGCAGGTTTTGAAAGTGCCGAAAGATTCCTCCAGATCGGCGTACATGGACCACACTTTCAGGGATTTATATAGACGCATTTGCACCGTCTCCGTCTCGTCGTGGTAGGCAACCTTTCGCTTTGGCATCGCCGTGGCGCGTTGCATTAGCTTGAGCGCAGCCTCGAATTGCTGCTGGCGCAGCTCCATTTCGGCCCACTCGCACCACACTGCCGCCAAGTGCTCCACCTTAACGTACTCCACTTGCGTGCCGCGCTCAAATACCACGCGCGCATCGTCCACCTGCCCATTTTCCTCGTAGAACTTGGCGAACTCCACCCACAGCGTGTGCAGCTGACCCACTGCCTGCTTCGGCTGCACCGTCTGCACGGCCTCCGTATAGGTGTTGATAATCTCCTCAGGCTTGTCCTCATACAGTTTGACCCGCTTGTGCCACTCATGCACGTTGTGAGGATTCTGGCGAAGCAGCACGCTGTTTAGCAGCAGCAGACGACGTTCCATCAAATACTCGAAGCGCGAGAGACGCAACTCGACGTCAATGTCGTCCTCCTCGTTGGCGTCTTCATCGTTTGCAACCTGCTCCATGCGCTTGTTCAACGACAACTCCTCAAACTGCGCATACTCGTCGAAGACTTGAGTGAAGTCCCGAACTGTGGTCACCGTCTGAATGGCCTCCTCGTAGATATCACGAGCACGATCAAACAGGCCTGAACGTACATAATAGTCAGCCAGAGAGTTCCAGAGGTGCCCCAACTGATCCGTGTAGCGACGCAGGCCACCACGAATAATTGCATCAACATTAAGTGAATGCACCTTGTGCGGATGCTTCGAGATCAAGTCGCAGAGCTCGTTCCATAGCTGGTGATTTGACTTGCCGTGCTTCGACACAAAATGCTCGTTGTCCACAATGTGCGCCAGTTGCTGTGCCGCTTCGTCCAGACGTTGTGCCTCCTACAGCAATAGAATCAAATTTGTAAAATTCAGTATTTTCTATTAAATACTCTCTTAACTCACCTGTAAGTAGGCCACATACTCCTCGGCATCCTCGGGAAACAATTTTAAATATCTCCTGTAGACACGCAGCGCCGTCTCGGGTATCTCGTAACGCTGCACAAACTTCAGATACAGCGGCCAAATGCGTCCATGCTGCGTAATGGGCAAGGCACGCAGCGCACGATCGAAAACGTGGCGAGTGCGTGTAATTTTACACTGCGAGCTCATGAACACGCCATAGTCCATCCAAATGCGCGGCATCTTGTGCATGAAGACCAGAGCACGCTCAAACGTGTTGTTCACCTGCTCGTACATGGGATCTGTGGGAATGCGGCCACGCACCTGCTTCCTGCGCGTACGCAGATAGTTGTACCAGATCTTGTAGCTGCCCGGCAACTCCTTCAGTGCGCGCTCGTACACTAAATTAACGCCATTGTTGGGCGCCTTTGCCTTGTGATCGATGTAGCGGAGCCAGTGCTTCACGGAGTACGCATTGCGTAGAATCTCTTCTTCGTACGGCACATCCTCCTCTTCCTAGAAATGTGCAATTAGCTAGGTGGGCAGCAACCATCAGCATATACTTACAAAATTCAGCTCGACTTGCAACGGCTGTGTTGATTTTTCGCTCATTTTGCTTTTATTTGCAAATAATACAACAAAAGCCGCAAAACGTTTGCATGCGCGTCTACTATCAGCTGCTGATGGACAGCGTTGCCACTTTTCGGGAAAAACAATAGTATTTAACGATAGTATTTAAATACCCTTATAAGAAACTGTAGCGGCAACTCAAACAGTACTGCAAAACACATGAACAGCAGTGTTGAATAGCAGCACGCGGCATCTTTTTGGCGGCCATCACAACGAAGAACTGAAAGTCGCAAGCTAAAACGCATACCTTAATGTGTTGACAAAAAACGCGCATTTAGATTTAAATTAAGCGAAACCAAACAATTTGAAAATGTCTGCAAGCGCTGCACGAGTTTACATTCAAGTAGAAAGCGAGGCCGAGCAGCAGGAGCATCTAAAGCAACAACGCAAGACACTAAAGCCAATTCAGGCTAGCGCCAACGCCAACGACAAGGAGAATCTAACGGGACGCGTCTCCATCGTGGATCATCTCAGTCGTTTAAAGGCCGGCGTCAATACAACGCCCAAATATGGCAAACGCAAATGTGTCGATACAGCGGCCACAACAACAACAATAACCACACAGGATGCCGATACACAGACCGAAGACTGTGCATCCATCAGCGATGCAGATAAGCCAATCACAGCGGCTGATCTGACCAGCGAAAGCGAACCGGGTGAGAACTACTACAAACTGCTATCGGAGCAGCGACGCGTTGCCCTCGAGGAGACACTCAACGAGAATCGCCATTTGCACGAACGCATCGAGGGACTCGAAGAGGAGATGAAAACGATGCGGCAAGAGCTGGACGAGGCTAAAACTCTGGTGGAGGTGCTCAAAGAGATATGCGACGAGAATGATGGCGATGACGAACAGACGCACTCAGAGGATCAACACGAATAGTTACACAAACAGCTAAATAAATAAATAAATACATTTATTATGTGTTGAAGTCATATTACTATTATATTTTGAAAGTAGATGTAGTTAATTCATTTCGATTTTCCTAACTTATACATTTATTATTATTATAATTATTATCATTATTAATACATATACATACAAAGAACCCAATGGACTGGTCTCAATGTACGCCAGCAATAAATATTTTTTAGTTAATTTTCCAATAAAAGTTGTTTCCGTATTTTGCAAGGCTTTTTCTTTATTACTTTATATATATTATTTATAATCATTATTTTCATTCACTTTAGCCAGTCGGTGATAATCTCCTCGCTGTGAAATGTCTCCACATCGAACTGCAATGAGAAATGTTTATAAGTATACAGAATATATAAATTTTGGATGTCTACTAGAGATCTGCGTAGATTCACTGAGTTGAGTGAGTGAGCGGCACACAATGAATCGAGCTAGCATGAATATGTGCGGTTTTTTTTTAAATGAGTAAGGATACTCAGATCATAAAATGCAAAAGGCAAAGCTAAAAGCACTTTGCATCTCGGTTAGACGCATTCCCACTCATTCGATTCGTTCCGAGCTCACTTATTCAATCACTCAATGCACTGCTCATTCGAAAGCTTTCATCTTTTGCCATTCATGCAGATCTCTAATAAGTACGCACCGCATCCGTGCATACCTCAATGCACTCCTCGTACTTGGGAACAGCGCCCATTACGTCCACATCATTGGCGGCTGCATCCAGATAGGCTGAATCGGCCTTGGCTGCTGCGATGAGGACGGCCGTCTCGGTGTCCGGTACAACAATCTCCTCATCGTTGTCCTCATCGTCTTCGTCATCTTCGGGAGCAGGCACTTTGGCCAATCGTGTGTCCGCATCATCCGGATGCCCATGGGCGGCCTTCATGTGAAGACGCAGGGCAAAGGGACGTGCATACTCCGCTCCGCAAGTAACGCACCAATATTTGTTCGCCAGCTGCTGGCTCTTGATGGCGGCACTGCTGACGCCTTTGGCGTCGTTGGTCCTGTGGGTTGACATGTGCGCCTTGACGGCATACAGCGAGGCAAAGGGCCGATTGCAGACGGCGCACTGATACGGCTTCGTGTGCGTATTCTTATGGGCATAGAGCTGCACCGAGGTGCGAAAGGCCTTCGGGCAGCTATCACAGGCGTATAGGCGGTCCGAGCTGTGAATGCGCAAATGATGCGAATAGACCTGATACGATTTAAATCTGCAATGGGAAAACGAATGTAATGAGATTGATTGATCAATGAGGCTGATAAGGAACCAATACCGCTTATTGCAAGTGGTGCACACATAGGGCCGTATGTTAGTGTGCGTGCGCAGGTGCAGCGTCAGCGAGTAGGAGACGCGAAAGGTCTTGCCGCACACCTCGCAGCTGTAGGGCTTCTCGCCGGTATGAACGCGCTCGTGCTTCACCTTCTCGTACGGCCGGGAGAAGACACGCTCACAATATTGGCAGGCAAATCCCGGTTTATCCTTCTTCGCAGAGGCAGGCTTTTTATTGGCATTGCTATTGCTATTGCTGTTCAGCGCACGTTCGTGAATCTTCAAATGCATCTCATAGTTGGTAGCATTTTCGAATTTTCGATTGCAAGTGCCGCACAAGAACTGCTCCTGGCTCTGGTGCATTTGCTTGTGCACCGTCAACAGGTTCTGCTCGAAGCTGCAAAGGAGTTGGCATTATTTAAAAAGCAATTGAGTTAGAGAATTTCAATAAATGCCCACCTCTTGTTGCATATCTCACAGTAGAATTGATCCAGTTCATTGTACTGCTGATGAGCACCCACGGGCAGAGCGTCCTGTATGGACTTGGGCGCGCGCTTGTTGTGAATGCGCATATGGAACTTGAGACACTTGGCCGAGCTGAATTGCGTCTTGCAAATGTCGCACACTGTAACGCTGCTGTTGTTGCTGCTGCTGCTGGAAGCCGCGGCAGCTGCGACCTTTCGGCGCATTGGCGTCTGTGTCTTGGCTAGCTTGGCGTTGCTGCTTTTGCCGCGTGCTTCGCCATTTGCTTCACCTTGGGGACAACTATGGTCCTCTGCACTCTGCCGAGTCTCAAATATGCTGTGACAGTCGAAGCAAAAGTAACGTTCCGATTTATTAGCCACTTCCTCAGCTTCCACCTCCTCCTCCTCCTCCTCCTCCTCTGGCTCAACTTCGGATGCAATTTCAGCTTCATTGACGACTTTGACATTCACTTGACCGTCATCCTCCAGCACCTCCCACAACTGCGGTTCGCTCGCCTCATCGAGCTCCTCAACCAGATCATCCTCAACGACCATGGAATCAATATCTACCATGGTGTCTTCGAACTCCTCTTTGATCTCAACTGCATGAACCATGACTTTGGATCTGGCCTCGACCGTGGCCCCACAGCCATCGGGGCCACTGTGCGCCTGGTTGTACGACTCGATGCTATCGAAGTCATTATTGCAGTCCTCACAAAAATATATTTCATCCACAGCCGTATCAATTACGAAGTGGTCAATATTGCTTTCTTTATTTTCGTCCACGTGCAAGTCCGAAGCTATTCCGTAATTTTTCCCACTGGGTCCTGTTAGTTGGCACTGTGAGCAGTGGCTGAGATTAATGTATTCAATTATTACGCACCTGACATCGCATTGTTTCGCCTTGAATGCTACAATAAAAATTTCTGGTTGTCGGTCGGCTACATATGTGCGAGTCCGTCCACTTTATTCTTGTCATAAAGGTGTCCCAACTATCGATAAGACTCGAGCACGATATTTGACAATGATACTAATAGCGATTTCGCTGTCGATAGTTTCTCTGTTAACTGCAGGTAGCAACTTTCTGTAAACGCTCTGTTAAGTGCCCGTAACGTTTTCGTATTCAAATTGAAATTAATTAGTTTTTACTTTTGTAATTTATTGTATTTGCTCTATGTGATTGGCACTAAGTTAGGCATATTTACAACAACAATATAACAAGTATCAATATCAATATCAATATCAAACTTTAAACAGATCTCTTTACAAACTATTAAACGACTTTAAGCAGGAATGATTACAAGTTTATCTCACTGACTGACTACAATTAAAACTAAAAAATGGCCCGAAACTAAAATAACAACGAATACAGCTGACAGCCAATACGTTTGCAGACATTCGAAACGACATAGGCGCCAGCCGAAACGGTCACGAACAACGTCAACCAGCCAAGAAACGTAAATTCCCCAACACGCGGCCTTATATGCTGCTGCAGACCCAGCCAGCCGCCATTGTCGATCAGCCAATAGACCAGGTCATCCTCAATAATCTCTGCCAAGCCGTCGACCAGGGTCTGCAAGTAATCATAGTGGCCCTGGCGCACACAGTCGATGGCAAAGCCGCCACAGACCGAAAATATCGAGATGATTTTGCCCCACGTAATGCTCGAGCGAAAGAGATCCTTGGCCACCAGATTGAGCAGCATGGGCGCCATATCGCTGTCCTCCAGCTCGCCGAACGGCGCACGCGATAGCTGCCTGGAGATATTAGTGTAAACGCGCGGATGCATGCGCTCCAGTTCCTCGCCCATCTGCATAATAAATTAAACAAAAATCATTTAAATATAAATCAAATATATATATGTTTAGTTAGATTTATATACTTACGCTGTTGAGCGCTGGAAACACCTCGTAGACTACATGTGACGATGGCTCCAGTATGTTGCGTAGTCTTTGTATCACCTTCCGATTGAGTACCCCGGCACGCCGCAGTCTCGCTCTGATGTACTGCCCGCACAGGCACTTGCCCTGGCAAATAGACAAACAACATAACGAAGTTCAATTAATAAATAACCAATTCGATCAAATCAATTTAGTTGTGATGGCCTGGGCGAGCTTTGATCTCTCGCACATGGAGGCATCAGAGTGCCACAAGGGCTGCGATCTATGCAGGTGTATCCGTCAAAATTTCCGCTTATCCGGAATCGCATAATTTATGATATCTGGAAACAATTCGAAAATACATTTCGATTTCGTCTATTTTCGTTTCGTCTATTTCGTTTTCGTGCCGCTTTGTTTGGGTTTGTCGGCATCGACTTGGCATTGGGAAATTGCTTTTGTGGCACTTTTCAAGCAATTTCATTTCGGTTGAGCTTTTGGCCAAAACACTTGCACAAAGAATTTTGGCCTGTCTGCGAACTTTGAGTTTTTGGCCGAATCACTGAACTGAAGTGACACCTGCTAAATTTCATTCACACACCTAACACACCTCAAGATAGTTCAAAATTTGAAAGCCAGCGCAGCACATTTAATGCAGCGCTAGCAAAAATAATATAAACACAACAAAAAATAAAGATTTTACAATCAACAATGCTCAGCTATGAGATATTGTGTATTAAGTTTAGTTAGTTGGTATATCTTGGGTCTAGAATTTGGATACACACTTGAATTGATTATTTTTCTTTGCTTTGGCATTCAAGCATTCGCGTTCGTTTACCTCGATTCTCCCTCCCACTCTCCTCTATCACTCTATCTCTCTCTATGAATGTGGTATATTGTTTATATTTTAGTTTTAGATTAATTAGTCTGCGCTTAGCTATCATTAATTATTATAATAGAGTCGGATAACATACTCTATACATACTCTTTCTGCATTTATAATAATGAAACTAATAATAATAATGAAAACAAATTTAAAATGTATATATATTTTTTATATATACCCCAAAACAATCGGCAATAGGAATATAATGGGGTTTCTTTATTGAACTTGATTGCTCTTTTATGACTATATTATTTAAGATCTCTTCTAAATAATCCTATTGAGATTTTCACACTCTTCTCCAATATACATATGACCGATTATATCTCGCGATAGATCTCTTCAGTTGCTAGAGGCGCACGCACCCTACTAATATTTTATACAATGTAGCCTCGCATCTGAGCAGAACAGGGTATTTGGCACTAGAGCTAAATGAAATACGACTTTATTTAGTGGCCGATGCTAGCAGTGTGCGCTGTGCAGAAAGAAAGAAAGTGGAAATGTTTATAGAGATGTGTGTTAACCATTAGGTAATAAAATCCTAAACAGACCCAACCAGCTGAGTGTTGTACTGAGGCTCTGTCGGGGCAGACTATAGCGGATCTTATCAGTAAACACTATAGGAAATATGGTGAGCGACTAATGAACTGTAGAATGATGTGTAGATACTTTAAAGTGCGCCGTCTGTCACTTAATACGAGAAACGAATATTCCGTTTCAATTACTACTGGCAGCAAAATAAATGGTTTAGTACAATACATATAAGTAAATACATAACGAAAGTCTTGCTATAATTTTAGTTCATTACCTTACTCTATCCTAATTAGGTCGACTTTACTGATTTCTTAATCATTTGTTGCTCTAATTTCGTATTACATATACATATAAATATTTTCAATAGAAAGCGGATATCCGTTCACTCTGTTACCATTCCCAAACCCAACCAATGCAATTCACAATATAGGCTTAGAGTTCATTGCTGATGTTTGCAATCAGAGGTTATCGCTCTTACATAAACACCCAACAATAGTTGAGAGAAGTTTGCTGCATAAATGAACCTATACACATTAAGATTTTAACACACTAATAAACCTCGTAGCATATTATAATTATAATGAATATGTTGAGCTACTTTTTAATTTAAATAGCGTAAACAACTGAATTGACTGCCTCACTTGAAGACAGAGCCAACGCTTAGAGAGCACGCCTTCTACATAGAGTCTGAGGCAGACACAGAAATATCTACGAAAACACGTGTCTACAGTGTTGTCTACTATGTCTATGTCCATGTCTGTGTGTGTCTCTCTGATAGATGTCTGTTTAATTGACAATGTCAGGCCGCTAGCAATTGTTATCGACACTCGTTAAATTATATTTATTTCGCACAATTATCATTTGTCATGCCAGCAGCCACAAATTGGCGCCAACTTGACATATGACATTGCCGAAAAAGAGTCGGCACGACCTTGGCTCGGTTGGGGTATTGAAATGTTGAATGTTGACAAGTCTATTGAATACTGTTGGCACTCGCTCGCTCTTGGGCTATTGCCCAACTCTTCCCACATGGGGTTTATCAGCCTGCTTACGCCAAATGCTCTTCGTGCCATAAATCTATCCAATTTGTTTATGCCACGCACTCTCTAAACGCCGACATAATTATTACCACCTGAAGAGCTAAATGTTTCCATGTTTTTCTTTCGATTGCCTGCTTCATGAATCCATCACCCCAAACTCAATTGGCGGCGAGTCTTACGATGTCTATTTTTAGTACTTTTAGCAAAACTTTTTTGTCTTCTCTCCTTTTTACTTTTCAATAAATTTGTATAGTGCTTGCAGCTGGTTGGATATCGTTTTTTGTTAGAGCGAACTATTTGTTTACATTGCCCTTGGGGCTTGGGGGTTTTCTCAAACGTATTTTTCTTGATGGTAATTTTTGTGCGTTTTATATAGTTTAAGAGGAACAGAAAAATTATATTTCATGTTTATATTTTCATTGGAAGCCTTTTAATAGTTTGTATAAACTTATACACATATTTTTTTTCGACTTGTTTTAGTGACAAAGCCTCATTTGTTTTACCTACATATGAGAGTATTACTAATAATTTATGTCTATTGACTTTTGCTTCTGTTTTATCTCAAAGCTAACGAGCCGAGCTGCAGCACGCGCATTTTCAACTCGGAAGCTCAACATTTTTTATCAACGAATGCTCAACAAATGGGAAAAAAAATAATTCGCAACTCTCCCCATGGGGTAAATATATCTAAATTATTAAATGGCAAACAAAACAACAAAATAAACAATAAAAAATAAAAAACACTTCACGTTGCAATGCCGGCCATATTCAATTTTTTATTTTGTTATCAGCTCAGATAAACAAATTGTTTAAGGAGAAAAAAAAAGCACAATATATATAAATAAACTGCTATGCAATGTACTTACATATATACATATATGTATGTAGCTGCCTTACGTTGCGAACGTACCCTATCAATTAAATGTCTAGAGGGCTTATATAATAGCCATAGCCACGCCCACTAATTAGGCATTTTTTGCGAAATTTAATTTCATTCTAAACAACAACGGGAATGGGACCGCCAACTGTTTGTTGTTATTTACCTAAATTTATACCAAAATATATTAATATTCAATTTGTTTGTACAGCTTTTCGCATACCCTGTTGTTGCCTGTATGCCTAAACAGAGAGCTATCTAAGACTTGTCGATCGAAATGCGACAGGCTGAAGAGAATAATAAAATATGCAGGAAATGAATGTGGAATTTAGAAGATGCAATCTAGAATATAGAAACTATACTAAACTATTTGCATTACAACTGCTCTAGAAACTACATACATACATATATAATACCGAATATGTATTATATAGGATCCCAATTTCTCATTTTAAAACTACAGATAGTTCTGGGATCCGAAACAATTCTAGAAAAACCTGACTTAACCACACATCTTTGAAAATTCGCCGATTTTACTTAGGTTCTATGTCATAACGCCTCACGTCATAAGCATTTCATAATGAACGAAAGAAAACAGAAAAAAAACGAACCATTGACTAACTGTTTATTTTCGCTTTAGTCAAGGTCGTGCCTACTTCTGTCAGAGTCCAGGGAGGGCAAACGCAAACATCTAATCTGAGATTCGAAACTTTGCGTTCGGCATTCTTTCTGCTCTGCTTGATTTTCCTATTTTTCTCTTGCAGGGTATTTTGTTGTTTCACTCAATTCGCTTATCACTTTTTATCGCTGGCTTACCTGATTAATAATTTCCATTTTGTACTCCTGGTAGTTCGTCATGGTGCGTGTGCTGCTGGCCAGCGACGAGGTGGAGGCGGCGCGCGTCATGTGGCCTAACGTGCCGCCCGCCTGACCCCCTTGGCCCGCTGCCGGGCTGCTGCCCACATGCGGAGATCTGCCATTAAGCGGTGCACGCAAAGCTTTCCAGTCGCTGGCTGCGGTGGCGATGGTGCTGCGTCTATTTGCCGTATAGATCTCGTTATCCAGCGAGGAGGACTTGAACTTGCTCAGCTTGGGTGTGGGCGCTTTGTTGCTGGTGCTGGCGGTTGCGGTTGTGGTGGTGGTGGCGCTCGCTGCTGTGGTGGGTGCCATGGCCATCGTCATTTACGCGCTGCCGAGGCGGAGGCAATGCTTCGCTGCAGCTGGACAATGGACCAAGCTTTGCTCTCCCTCTCACTCTCACGCCTTGCTAATGCTACTGCTGTTGCCCTTTCTATTGCTGTTGTTTTTGTTGCTGTACGCTATAGCTTGCATGCAAGCTCGAGCTTTTATTATGACAATTTACTGGGGCTGATTGTCGCCTTGCAATGAGCGCAGCTAGTTTTGCGCTTTTTTGGAGGTGGTTTGGCTTGATGAAATGTGCAAAACAAAATACAAAGCCGAGAATAAATGTTGCGCCCAAAGCGTAGAGCAGGCAAACACACACACACACACACAAGCACACGAATGGCGCACACAAAAGAAAACAACTAAAAACTTGTTGTTGTTGCTGCTACTGCTGGTGTTATTCGATTGATTTTCAAGCTGCTTCTGTTGCTTTCTTTTTGCTGTTGCTACTGCTACTGCTGCTGTTACTTCTGTTGCTATTGTTGTTGTTCTTGCTGCCGTCTCCGCTGTTGTTGGTGCTGTCTTTATTTTACCTTTTTTTATTTTTCTGTGGCGCGTGTGTTTTTACTGTCGCTTTGCTTCACTTTGCTTTGAACTTTTAACCGAGAAATCTACGAAAAAAAACACACACGCGACACACACACACACACAATAAGAAGTGTATTGTGCAAACGTCGGGGGATTGCCGCTCAGTCTCGGTCACAATATTAGCGGCCCCGCTGTTCTAACGCGTGAGAGTGTGCGCCGTTAACTCAGCTGCTGTTTGCTGCTGCTGCCATTCGTTTGGCTGCGCTGCCCGCTTTGGGGCCGAGCTCCAAAAAAGCACGCAACGAAAAGCTCTCCAGAGCGAGACAGCCACAGCAGCCAATGTACAATGCGTCTGTAGTCTTTGCATATTTACATGAAAGTGGCCGGGCGCCAAATTTATGTGGTTTGTGTATTTGCTGTTGATGAACATTATATATGCCTTAACTCTGTGCGACAGATTCTCTTTTTTAACTGAAACTATCTATATTCAAAAAAATTTTACATCTTGCGATATTTTATAAAACCCCGTCGATAATCTGTTGGCGATACTTCACGTACTTTACAAAACTATCGATGATTACTGTGAAGCTCAAGCGAAGAGCAAAGTGAATGTAAGTCTTTAAATTGATTAAAAATGTAATTCGTGCTCAACCAATAAATAATACAAGCTGGATTTAAATTTAGTTTGGCTATTAACTTTGTAAGAAACATAAACAAATTTGACAACATATACAATATAAAAACATCGAAAAATACTAAACGCGGTATTTGTTTGCGAACTGTGCGAAGGTCACACTGGTTAATGTAGACAACTTTAAATATTCAAAATAAATTTTAGCATTTGAGTTTATTGTATTAGCTCGTAAATCGTTGATATATTTTAGGTATCAGTGTGTTGACAATAAAGCGCAAAAACATAAATAATAAAATCAATCCGAATACAACTCCAATTACCAGCGTGGTCCATTCCAAGGGATTTAAGCTGTTGGATGTTGGTAAAACGTGTGTATTGATGCCACTCTAAAGCGATACAAGATGAAACCGTTAGCTCGAATTCTATATATAAAGCGCAAGCATTTCATTTTACCCAACCGCCGTTTTCGTTTATCCAAGGCACCAGCTCATCCTCGATAACTTCGGAAACGCTCTCCATAAGCTTTGGCAAATACTCGGGATGGCCCTGGCGCACACAATCCACCGACAGACCGCCGGCTATAGCAAACAATGAGATAACCTTGCTCCATGTGATCTCGACCCGAAACAGCTCCCGGCCCACGGCACCCAGGAGTAGACTCACAGCATCCGGGGTATGGAACTCGCCGCCGGGATTGCGGCAAATCTGTCGGGCGACGCCATTATAGATGCGCGGATGCATGCGCTCCAGCTCATCGCCCAACTAGGGATCAGTGCAGATATAAATGACTATATTAATATAACACTCCATAGCCATATCAAACCACATAGCAAATAGACCTTAAGCGGTCGATTCTCCTGGGGCACTCACCACTTGCACCGCTGGGAAAACGTCTCTCACGATGCCCATAGTTGTGTTGCTGTTGCCCAATATGCTGCGAATGCGCTGCAGCCCCAGTTTCTTGTTGAACAGTCCCGAGCGACGCAGCCGCCGCTTGATGTAGTGTCCACATAAACAGCGTCCCTGGATGATGAAAATTCAAAGCTTTAATATATTGATTAGCTGCGATAAGCAAAAAAAATTCTTCAGTCGATGCCAGACAACATTTTAAGGAGTTAAAAATAAAGCTCAAAGTAAATAATCGATAAAAAGATGAAAACAAATATATTTTTAAAATGCTTAAATTATGCTGGGATGGGTAACTGAAAGTGCTCTGACTATGAATATGGATTCGGCAAATTAATATTATTATTGGATACAAAATTTTAATAAAGAATGTTCAAATACTTTTCCTATTCATTAACTTCGGCTTTATTTATTTTTTAAAACCTATCAAGTTATATTCATAAATTTGGATTTAAATAAAAACTCAAGGCTCTATACTTTGACCAGAAGAACTAAAAATAACTATTCATTTAAAAAAATGAAAATTATAGTTTTTGGAATATTGTTTTTAATAACATAAATGCTAATAACTTAAAAACAAATAGTTTAAAATATTGATATTCCACGAAATTCAGCTAAGTTTATTCAGGGCTCAAGAACTAAATAAATTAAGCATAGCAATAATATTTAGAGTTTTTTGTTTAAAATTTTGCGTCTGACTATTTTGGGAACAACTATAAAATTAGCATATAAACCAAATAGACAGCCCCTTATGTGAACATTTTATACTCCAATATTGAGTTGTAATTAATATTATTGTGATTCAAATCAACGATGAATTTTCCATAACGGATATTCCTGCTGCTCAACTTAACCTCTAGGCTGGACTTGACTTCTACTATTAACCTCCTCCTCTTCAAAAATCTGTTAATGATTATCATATGCCACGCATACCTGTGTGATAATGTCTTGGGCAGGTATTTGAGCGGCCTTCCAGCCGATGGTGTAGGAGAGCTTGCGGGTAACCACATCGCTGACGTTGCTGAGCCGGCGGCGCGTGGACTCCCGCTGGCCCACCTCGAGCAGGGCGGCCGAGTGGAGTGTGGCGGGGAAGCTGAACTTGCGGCGATTCTGCGCCTGCAGCAGTCGCTCGGCTTGGGTCGTGACCATGGGGAAGCCGTTGCTGAAGTTGTCGTTGTTCGTTGGGAACGAGGTGCCTGGCATGATGATGTGCGTCTGAGATCCTGCAAGAGATTTGCCACAGATTTGAGATGAAATGACATACATAAATCAAAACTGATTGCCCAGGCGCTAATTGCAGTCATCGATAGCCGATAGCCGATATACGATATGGGATACCCGATACGCGCTTATTTTGGGCTTCATTAATTATTTTGATGTCGCAAACTCTGTGCGCTGCTCATGTTAAATCAATTAATTGCCATTCGATTCGATTTGGCTGATGTGGCAAATTTTTGTGCGTTGTTGTCAATCTTTTGGGTGCCGTGCCGTTGCCCATGAGAGACTTTTATCTTGTATCTGTCTGTAGCTCTAGCTCAAGCTGTAGTGCTCTGTCTGGCTGTAGTTGGATGGAAATGTTTTTTTTTTTTATTTGTCTGGCCGTCAAACCTGCTACAACAACAACAACAACAACAGTCAGTGCAACAACAATAACAACAACATTTGAGGCAGCACATAAGCCCCACAGACAAACAATTATAATCAAAAATAATTGCCTCAAATCATAAATGTCATGTTGAAATTGCATTAAATTTATAAATGACATTATTTAATGACTTGAGCCGCCAGCCAGAAAATCTCACATTAGGCGCGCAATTCAAAGAGCTAATTGATTAGGCTAAATCAAAATGATTCTATGAATTATGATTGAAACGGATAGGAAAATTCATTATTGGGCAGCTTAAATATTTGAACTTCTGATTAACTTAATTAGCTTTACTTTTTTTTAGGCCTGTATTAATATTTAAAATAATAATATGAACAGTAATAACAGTTAATTTATTAAAGGCAAAAATAAATAAAGGGAAATTAAGTATGAAGGCCAATTAAAGGATTTTTTTTATCTAATTTAATAAGCTTATTATTATTATATGTTGTGGAATAGTTTTAATTTACCCAATAATGATTGCAAGGCTACTGTGCGCTTCAAATTAAATTTCGAGCAGACAGACATAGGAAGAGTATAGAAGTTATAAGTCGATTTGCCTATAGAAATGTATGAGTGTAATAAGATTTAAAAAAGAGAGTTTAGCATTGGAATGAGTTTTAGCTACTGTGAGGAACAATGGAAAGCTTATATGTATTTGTAATGAAGCTTGTGATCATTCATACTGATTCTGTTCCTTAAATATGTCTTTATTCTCACAGTGCTTGGGCTGATCGTGATAAGCCCAACGCTCTGAAAATGTGTATAGACTACGACTATATTACTTATGACTATATGAAAGAGAAAGAGAGAGAGAGAGAAAGAGGATGTTGTTTGCTCACTTTTAGTAAAAATTGTGATGCAAAAAATAAAGTTGACTTGGCTAAATTAAAGCTATATGAAACATTTTAACAGCTAAACAATTTATTAAGTAGTTAAAATTGTTCTTGGCATTTAATTTATAATGAAATCGTTTATTATTTAAACATATGTCACGAGCATTAATGTACAAATATGTAGTGTGAGCTAGCTTTAGCAGGAGAACATTATATAGGGAACACACATTCAATTTTGTTAAAAACTTTAAACATAGAATTCTCAGCTAATTGTAGTTTATCGTTGTTTACTTAACCCAGAAAATAAGAATAAGAATAAACTACAAACACACAAACACAAATCCAAATATAATGAAAAGATCTAAAACCTACCAGACGCTTAAGCTGAATATATATAAAAAAAATTTGAATGTGCTTTGGGCTAAACTTTACATTCTCCTGAAGACCTAGTTAAAACTATTTCACTTGCAAAAAAAAATACTTATGCTTAACACATATACATATATGTATATGTAGGTATTTGCAAGCTTCTCAACTGAAACTTCAATTGAAATATTTTCTTATAACGACAGCTCATGCTTGAATACCCTGTAATTCAGCAAACTAGCCTCAATATTGATATCTTACTTATGAGCTTTGCCAGAAACCAAATTTCTTTAAAGATTTGTGATTGCTTCGGCCCACACTAGAATCACAGACTAGGCCATCGATATAATCCACCAAGTTGAAAAGCCTGCAGTGGGTATCTCAGGTGGTGTCAGCTCAGCCTTTGCTTTGCCATTATCCGATTATTGTTGTTGAGTTTTTACTTTGCGCCACCATTTTTGGGCGCATTAACAACGGCGACGTCGGCGTTGGGGGCTCGTTAAGTTTGATTGGCGGTCGCGTCTTTTTGTCTTGGCCATTTCAAACGGACTTTCAGCAATCTGGCCAAAATGCTGTGAATGCGTGTTGCCATTAGCCGACCACAGGCGGCATGTCAAATGGCAAATGATTTGTGGATGGCGGCGACAACTGCGTCAAGTGAATCGAAGTTGCAGCTGCGATGCGATGCGATGCGATGCGATGCGATGCGAGTGTCGAAGTGCTATCGCCTAGGGAGCAGTACCACGGCAGCAATTAGCTGTACATAACCTGGCCCAACAGCCGCGCCGTCGCATCGTGATCAAGGAAAGTTGTCACAATCGATACACCGAAATCGTGTGCGTCCATCGCCATGGAAAGTAAATTTTGGAGCCCCTCAATCACAGTGAGTTCTACATAGCGCCCACATTTGGGTCATTCCGAATCACGATTATGCCAGCTTAGCTTATAAAAGCACGCCCACACATGGCTCGATCAGTCAGTGATTGTGAAGAATGTCGACTAATTGGACGCGTTTACTAGTTGTCAGCCCTGCCCTGCGGTTGCTACTCCTGCTGCTGCTCCTGCTCCTGCTCGACAATGCCTGCGCGGATGTGGCTCACTTCTTTGCGGCACCCGCTGAATTTGGCAGCTATTTGCATGGACAGGCGCCCTTCCAGCTGGCGCTGCCTCAATACGGTCCGCCTGCCGCGAGTCCTGTGACCCCGGCCCCCGTGGCTCCCGTGGCGCCGTCCACCACGGAGTTTATTCTGCCGGAGATCATTGACAATCGCAGCCTTGTCAAGAGTTTCGGCCCGGCACACGGCAACTTCATACCCCTCAGCCAGCACTATCTGCCGCCCAGCAACGAGGAGCGTCCCAGCTATGAGAGCCCAAAGCCCAGGTAAGAATCAGCTGTCTGGCAGTTCCAACTGCAGAATACTCATTCACAGTCAATAAGCTACTTGCTGCATTTTTCGATTTAACACGCCTCCACTTAAAAGTAGAGGCGTAGAATTATCGGCCATATCTCATTGATCTTGATTTGTCAGCCCGAGCATGTGTTCAATATTTCAAAAACTTTTCCTCTTAATATAACAGAATACGAGAAAATGAGGGATATACACTGAGTCGATTTGTTACGACTTTAATAGGCGTCACTGCAATGGGCGTAGATCCACGCGTTAGCCATTCACTTAACTGAGATTCTGACATACCGAAAAATGCATTTGTCCATTTAGTACGTCTCTAATAGCGTATTCTTCTTCTTCTTTATGGGTATACACGAGTATATATAACAAAGTCAAAATACCAAACTTCAAAAGCGCTTAAATAGCTTGCGTTCACAGACAATTGCTTACGACGAACGGACAGACCGACAGACGAAAGGACGAATGGATAAACAGACGGACGGACCGACGGATTGACAGATGCACCAACAGATAGACCGACGAATAAAGAGACGGACATATGGCGGATGGATGGAGGGATGGACCGACGGATGGACTGGCGGTTGGAAGTATGGATCGACGGATGGACGCAGGAAGCGACTGTTGGGCGGATGAACGAATAAACCGACGAACGGATAGAAAGCTAGTCGAGCATTGCATTGCTTCACTTCATAAATATGCAGCAAAGTAGCGAAGTTAACATAATGAAACGCATTCACATTCAGCTTAAATAAAATTTAAGCAGCCTTAAGCTGACGATCTAGCCTAGACACTTTCATAATTCGTTTGGCTACTCTTCCCATGCGCTAGCGATGAGTTCGCTGGCTACTATTATCCACAGCCCAGTGGGAGCAGCACCACGCGCATTCCCTCGACCACCACGACAACGCCACGTCCCATCGTAGTGCAGGAGCTGGGCGAGGATGGGGATGAGGAGCAGCTGGCCGCCGCTGGTTACGATTACCATGCACCGCCGAAGCGTCCCTCGACGCCAGCGCCCGTTTATCTGCCGCCAGGGGAGAGCGGTGTCCAGCACCAGCAACAGAATCAACTGCGACTGCGAATCAAGGACATGCGCTGCCTGCAGGCTGGCTACTTTCGGGCCATCCTCAAGCTGGACAGCTTCGTGGGCGCTGCACCGGTGCTGGACAACGACTACGACGAGTCTTCGGCGGACAAGCACTGCGAGCTGAAGCTATCGCGTAGCTATCTGCTCCTGGACATAGCCGGCGCAGACTTCGAGCGCTGTGGCGTGCGAAATTGTGGCCAGGATTTGTGTTTGCGACTGCGTTTCCCGGCTATACGGGGACTGCGCACAGGCGGAGACTCCATCCTGACGCTGCACTGCAAGACGCAGGAGCGCGTGGCCGTCAAGACGCATGCACTGAAAATGGGCGTGGCCAACGATGTGTGAGTAGTGGATATAGTTCCAGTTGCAGAACCAATCCGAACTGAATCTGATTATATATATTCCCGCTGCCACACAGCCAGGCCCGCAGCGCTGGCAGCTATGCCCATGGCGGCAATCAGAATGCCTTTCGCACCCACGTGGAGCTCCTGAGACGAGGCAGCAACGGCTATACCCAGCACCTGGAGAGCAATGGGGCCGTGCAGCTGGGCGAGGAGCTCTTGCTGCGCGCCCATGTACTGGCCGGCGATGGTGAGTTCAATTATTTAATATTGTATATGAATGGAGCTATTTGTAATCAAAGAAGAATATAGTAAGAGCAGAAGTAGAAGTAGAAGTAGAGTTGAAAATATAGAGGATCATAACTGGGGATAGGACAGAGAAGACAGCATATGAGACGAAAAGTCTTAAGAAGACATATAGTTTGAGAAGGAGACGGAGAGATCGAGTGAGAGAGAGAGCGAGAGAATAAAATTAAAAGAGCTCATTAATAGAGAGGAATCCAGAACATGAGAAGAAAAAGAAGTAAACAAAGCTAAAATTAAATTTTAAATAAAATTGAAGAACAACAGAATGGAATGAGAGTTAGTTATGAATTTGCGAATTAGAAATACACACAGAAGATAATATTAAATATTTTGTAACTTTGTTGAATTTCTATATTCAATTATTTGAGCTAAATTTTAGTCAATATACGAATATTTAAACGCTTGACAGAATCAAAATAAATTTAAATTGAATTTCTATAAAACTGAAACTAAATTCAGTACAATTTAAATTTTAATATATAAAAATAAAAATATATAATAATAAATAAATATACATTGATCATCCACAATATATGTATATTTATTTATTTATATATAATATAATTGTGGATATAAATTTCATATTTGGATATTTCGACTTTAAAGAATTTGAGACGTTATTCTCATATTATCAAACCATTAAATGATGCACTAAAATTTCATTATAAAGTTTATGAATGTCATTTAAAATATTTAAGCTTGAAGTTGATGAAGTTAACTTCTCTCCTTAGCTACCTATGCAGTGTTTTTAATTTACAATCTACTCATTCTTCGCTGTGACTTTTACATTTAAGAAGATATACTAATTAAATTCCCATATAAAAAAGCTCATTAAATCCTGACCCCGTCCTTATATCAATTGAATATTATATGCAACAATTCCTCCATATATACTTTATATTGTCTCATTAAAATCATTCTCTCCTGTCTCACTTCTTCAGGCTGGAACTACACGAAGCTGAGTGACGTACAGCTGCAGCGCATTTCGGCCGGTGGGGAGGTCTTGAATAGTGTTCAGCTGATCACGCCGCGCGGTTGCCTCAATCCAGCCATGCAGAGCATATGCGCGCATGCGCCCAGTGCGGAGCCGCCGCTGGGCCAGCGACTGCAGTTCAGAGCCGTCATGTTTCCGGGCATGCACAGCGGCGATGTGCTGGTCATGTCCATGCGCATAACGGGCTGCCTGGAGCGCGAGGACTGCCAGCTGTCGGCGCAGGACTGCCAGCCCGGCGTGGCCCAGCGACGACGACGGGACACCGTACTCCAGCCGCATGCCAATGGAACAGAGGCATCCGAGCTATCCCACATCACTTTCAGAGTGATCATGCCGCACATGGAGCTGCCGGAGCAGCCAGCGATTGTAACCGACTTGGACTCGTCGAACGTGACAAATAGCGCCAAGTCATTCGCATTGTTTGGGAGTGTGGGGTTTGTGGTGCTGCTGCTGGGCGTTGCTGTGGTGGCACTATATAAGCTGGGCAAATAGATGGATGATGATTGATGAACCGTCTAGTTTTGGAATTACCTCTATTTTCGTTATGTTACTCGTTACTTTACTTTTTAGCTATAAATAAATAAATTGTTCAATTTATTATAGCAAACAGACAGAAGTGGGTATGTAACGGTTTTTTGTGTTATAAATATAAGTATATATATAAAAGGGGCAAATTATTGGTTCGCAATCTCTCCTGCTCTATATCATTACTCTTACATGTTCATCATTTACTTCGAACCGCTATTCCTCTCATTCCCTCCACCCATAAGACTTTCATTTCAGGTCCCACATATCTTCGTCCAACATTCCTCCAGCTGCCTTCAGATTATGCATCCTGGCAGCTCCATTAACCACACCCGTTCCACATTCGCTTGGAGCCAAGAACCTCTTTAGTGTCCCCCCAATCTGTGGCGCCAATCACAGCCGCGAGCAGCTCGTAGAGCCCCAAAAAGCAGAAAAAGTGTGCAACAAATTTGAGCTTATCGGACGGACGAGATCAGTGGCGGGCAAGTGCTTGGCCATTCGGAGCTACCAAAACAGAAATTAGCACTTAATAAAATGTTATTTATGTTCATGTCGCTTGTAATTGAACGGCCTGAGAATAAAGCTGAAGCTGAATCTGAAGCTGACGTTGAACCTGAAGCTGAAGCTGAAATCTCGAAACATGGCTCGTCGACTGATTACCAAACTGCGCGCAATTCAAAAATTGCGATCTGTCATTTTTATGGAGAGACGCGAAAACTGAAATTCTATCACGTTTTCACGCTTCGAGCACATTTTAATGAAACCAAATACGCAAAGAACTCGCTTTTGCTGTTTTAGCTTTGCTATTTGGTGCAATTTGTAGTCATTTCTTATGTTAATTCTCCACTCGCAACTGCAGCGGCAGCTGCGACTGAATGCGGGCCGTGGGTGCCACGAAATGGCATCCAATTAGCTGCTTGATTGACGGCCTAATACATCATGGGGGGTCATAAACAGCAGCTTGAACAGTTGCTAAGTTTAGCAATCAGTGGCCGAGCTGCCTGCTGATTACGTGACCACATTAATTGAATTACATTAATTATTAGTTTTACTGCAAGTTGACGAAATAGTCGTTAGTTATCAGCATACGGTTATTTTACTCACTCTTAAAGTGAGGAAATTATATTCATCTAAATGTATGAATAGATAATTCAGCTAATGATTTGGCATTTGAATTTAGCGCTCTTCTACAGTTACAGTTACAGTTTGTCTTTTAACAAAGGAGCGAAGGGGAGTAGGTATTTCCTCTAAACATATCATTTGAATATTTCCTCCAAGTATTTCCTATGAGTATTGCCTCTTAGTATTTCCTTTTAAGATTTTCTCTAAGTATTTCCTCTTAATGCTTCTTCAAAATATTTCCTCTAAGTCTAAGCATAGCTTCCTAGTATTCCTCTTAGTATTTCTCCTAGGCACCCTCCAAGTATTTCCTCTTAATATTCCTCTAAATATTTCCTCTAAGCACCCTCCAAATATTTGCTCTAAATATTTCATTAAAGTATTTGCTTTTAATATTAGCGCTAAGTATTTCCTTTTAATATTCCCTCTTAGTATTTCCAGTGAGTATTTCTTCTAAGTATTCCTTCTAGGTATTTCCTCTCAGTCTTTAATGCTCCACTTCAGTGTACTTCATTTTACTGCACTGTACGATTGACCCCCACCAGGCCTGGGTGACTGAAGAAATGCTGCAGCTGCTGCCCTTTATATAGAGCCACTTTCACTCAAGCACTAATTCTCTCTCAACTGTTGAGCGCGACGCCAGGTAGAGATCTTTGCAGTCGAGCTGCAATCGACCAATGGGAGCACTCTCTGCTGCTGAAAGCATTTCATATTCGTTTCTCTTAAATATAAATTTCCAATGCACACTTCTGCATACACGTAGACAACTTAAGTGATCTTCTGCAGTTCTTCTTCGTCCCTCGAGACAGATATACAGCCAGATATACTAGACATACAAATAGTTGTTATATTGGATTATTACGCTATTTAAGAGTATGTATGCTTTAATATTTATAATTATTAAATAGCATAGACTGGCTAACTTTCTCTCTCAATAGTGGGTAGCACAGTAACACATCAACACTCATTTTATATGCCCTGCAAATTGAAATGCTCATATCGATAACCATCAACCCCATACAACCCAGACATACAATGCAAAATTCAAGTGCTAGATGTGCTCAGTATTGTAACGGAAGCAAAAAAGAAAATACCATTGTTTAGTGTTGGAAAACATTTCATGCATTAATGGCAAGGCGCCAGTGCTGTAAAGCTAATGTTCTATCAAAATAAAATATTTGGAGTATTCGTAAATTAAAGTCTCCTTCAGTTCAATCAGATGATAAATAGCAGGAGGAGATCCTTTGGCCCGCTGTCAGCGAGGAAATGGAGCGATTAGCAGGTGAGTCGTATGGGCCAGCTTGTCGACTAGCGTGTCAAGCTCTTGGCGTGACCTATGCCTAGTTCCCAGCGATAGCACATCTGTGGCAGAGCCGGACGACATGGCTGCTCACATGACTGGCAACGGTGGCATGCACCTTATGGGTCGCTCGGCTTGGCGGCCTACTCGGAGCTAATTAATAAAAGCGACACGTTTGCAGCACAATCGCATGTGTTGTGCAGCCCGCAGACAACTTGGCCAGCAACTACTACTTTGTCTTTGTCGCAAATGGCAGGCAAAATGTTTACCTAGTGCACATAAATTAAGTGCCGAGCAGTGCTTCGTCGCCTCGTCGCCTCGTCGCCTCGTCTAAGGCGTCGTCTGGCCGTTCCGTCCGCACTGGCGCTTAACTTTGTAGTCATCGCAGCGCGCTGCGGCCTGAGCAACAATTTACACTCTTCATTCCGCAACCGAATCGGCCAAATGGCCACGCAAACCAGACCTAAAAGAAAAACATACGCACATAATTTTCATGTCTCCCCCCTCTCTTCAGCCCTCTCTTTCTTTCTCGCTTTGCTGTTCTGCTTAAATTAGCGACTTCGACTACGACTGCGACTGCGACTACTTAGTGCCCAATTTAGCAACTCCCAATAAATATTTATGAATGCACTTCATTTTCATTTTCATGCTCATTTTTAGTCACTTTTCAGCTTTTAATGCTCAATGGAGCGCAAGAGCTCTAATAGCTTATTCTGCTATGAATGGCGAGCATTGCTGTGAATATTCATATATGTACATATATACAAACATAAACATACATATATATTTATGTCTATATGTTAAGTATTAAGTGATTTTCCGAAAACCTTTCCTTGCATTTTATATGAAATATATTTATACATTTAAGGTATATGAATTGATACATGTGTATGTATCTAAAAGTATTATATAGAACTTTAATATATAATGCCTGAATAATGACAATAATCAATGTCTTTGTCATTAGCTTTTGAACGCCTGTAATAGATGAGTGTTTGGCATAGTAAGTCTCGCTCTACTCATAAAACACAGAAAAACTTTTGTACCTATACATATAATAATAAATTCATCATATTTTACCCGAACTGAATCGTTATCAATAAATACTTTCTATGTGTAAAATATTGGTAATCATCATCAATAATATTTGTATTATTAATATATATGTATATATATAATTCTAATACTATTTTATTTTATTTTTATTTATTGTTATTTTTAAAATCATGTCTCCCATATTCCAATACTAATACTATTTTTTATTTATTTTTTTTTTTATTTATTATTATTTTTATATTTATGTATCCCATATAAATATCTTCAACTATATTTTGCTCATAAATTATAAGTAAAAACTAGGATTTAGGCTAAGTATAAACTTCATTAATTAGTTAAATATATCCGTATAAATATAAATAACAGCCGAAGGCCCCTGCTGCCAGTGTCTTAAGTAAGAGTTAATTTTTTTTTAAATTCTAACTTACTAATAAATAAATAAATAAATATATATAATTTGTATACTATATTTATAGTTAACTATCAACATCAATGCCCTGTCTAATATGCCAAAACCTTTGTACAAAGCCGTTGTAGTCGAATCGTATCAGATTTCCATTCAAGCTTTTACATTGCACCTAACACTAGTTGATTTAATTAGGTATTTATAGCTCATCTACTATACATATACTATATATATTCTACTACTATATATTCTGCTTCATTTCCAATGTCAATCAAAATCAATCACTCCTCCTCCCCTCGGCTGATTCGCTTGCCCGTTCCCATTGGCTGAGCGCTGCGATTAAATCAAATCACATCAAATAGTCAACGCCTCGACTCACTCATTAGCAACTTTTATTAACCAAATGTGTCGCCTGCTTGTATTTTTTTTCAACTCCAGCAACTGCCATTGGCTCAGACGCTAGATCGAGGCGCTGCAGTGCTTTAAATTAACGTCAAGCATTTTGGCTAACACAATGCGAGTTTTTTTCCACTTTTTTTTATTTTTTGCTGAATTTTTTATTGCCTGTTGTTCGGCAAAAACTTATGGCAGTCACAGATCGCGTTCAACTCTGATTCGAGCTTGTCGCTGGGAATACCCTGTAAATGTCGAATGTGAACGGGGAATGTCCGCTGCAAAGAGTGATCGAAGTTGAGATTCATAATCTTCCTTCTTCTATTCATTCTTGATCAAAAGAAGATAATATTTATATTTCATCTTTATATATATATAATTTTTACTATAGATCCACTTCCCCTGCAAACTTTCTCGAGCAAAACTCGAATATTTCTAGCCAACATCTGACTACAGGGTATCTTGCAGCTGTGCACTCCCTGGCGCTTATACTTGTTTTGGTTTTTTCTTAAGCATTATAGCCATGTTAACATTTGTGTTATTGATTTTTTACAACAGTTGACAGTTACGCAGGCGCAGTAGACGCCAACTCCCCGACACTTTAAGCCCCGCAAGTCAAACTTTTTTTCTCTCTCTCTCTCTCTCCCCCCTCTCTCTGACTCTGTGGAATTTCAATATATCTATTTATACACTGCTTCAACTGGAAAGAGCTGGGCATATTGAGTTTTTTTTATTATTTGTGCACTTTTATTTATTATTCATGAAGAACTCAAAAATGTCTCCCGCATGAAAATACCTATATAAAATTCAATATAGTTTCAGTTTACATTTATTTTTGTTTTGCTTCAAGCAGAGCATCTTACAGTCGTGACTACTCCGTCCGTTTAGCTGTCCGTTTTTTCATTGACTTTTGCATTTGGCGCTGGATTTGGCGCATGACAAACGATTCGAGCAATTTGACTTTCGATTTGTGATTGGTTTATCAAATCGCAGTTCATTAAAATGCCAAAACACATTTAATTGCATTTCTGATAGGCCCAGCTCAAACGGTTAAAGCCTCAGAAGCCCACAGAAGTCTGGTCGCGGCTCATGTATAATAGTTTATAAGCCAAATTTTTGTATTTAATCCACTATATTAGAACATAGCATATCTATAGTCATAACTACATCTATAGGGAACTACATTTAATATGTATCCTAACAACTAGATACCCTGCAATCTAAGCAAATCAAGTATTTAAGTTAGTTTCTGATATAGATACAGTATCTAATTCGAATCCGATCATAGACTGTGAAATTACAAATCGACGTGTGCATCAAGTGCTCCATTTTGTTCTCTTGTGAGTACAGGGTATATGTGAAAACAAATTACAGGTGGCAAATGAATTAGTTAGAGCCGTTAATGCTGACACCGCCAGCTCGCTATGCCGCTGTGTTAATATTTTGCGGGGGATCGTTAGCTACTCGTATTGTCGCCGTCGCTTGATTTTGCACTTCTCATTTCCATTCCCATTACCACGTCCGCCGATCCGCCGATTCGTTTTACGTCATTCAATTCGAGCGTGCAAAGTAACTAACAATTTGCTCTGCACCTTTTTAATTGCAACAATGTAAATATTGTAACACAAGGCGCGGGGGGGCGACATCTATCGGCTAACTGTTGTTGACTCATGCTCGTAATACTCTGTTTTGTTTGATTTACTTAGTGTCTGTGGAGTGGACTAGAGTAGCTAATGCACTTGTGTTTTCATAGGCGAAACATATGCTTAAACTTGATAATACACTGAGAGAAATTGAGTATTTCATATAGGCGACAGCTGAGGTGGTAAATGTGTATATTACATAAATAAATGTGATATATATAGCTGCGGTCATGAGAATAGTAGAGCGAATGGACGCTAAATGTTGGGTGTTACGAATTAGAAGTAAACTTAATATTTTGCAAAGAATGTAGAACTAATATTAGGATTGAAATATACTTATATGTGTTATTATTTTAGATATTGATATGTAACTGATTACTAAGCTTTTTGTATAACTGAATAGAATTAAAAATATATACATTTTTCGTATGATAATTGAATATTTTATTATAATGCATAATAATTTAATAATAATATTAGTAATTATATTCGATAGTTCATTTATATTCGATAGTTTCGCCTTACTCAGAAATTAATTTCCAATGTGAGCTGATTACCTCTTCACAGATTTCAGCAGAAGAAATATATAAGCTTTAATCACTGTATTCTTTTTATTTATTTTTTTTTTTTTAACTACTAATCGTTGCTTTGTCGGTGAGCATTGTTTGTTAAATAAATGAAATGGCTTTGCTCATGGCATCACACAATAAAGCAGCAATTATAGCAAAGTCAATTACGAATTGGTCTGAGATGTGGGTGTGCGCGTGTGTATGCGCATTTAACCACAGCTCAGACACACACACACACACACACACACACAAACACACACTCACACACACATGAAAGGAAATTAAATTAATATTAAGTTGAACTCTTTCTGCTTTGAGGGCGTTCAACTTTATATATCAACAAGTGGCCCTTGGCACTCGGAATTCTCTTTTTTGTTTGCTGTATATTTACTTCACGTTAATGCATTAATTGGCTAAATAAATGCTAAAGCCACACCAACTTTTCTTATCGGCATATTCAATTTCATTGATACGCGCGCACATTCTGTGCTGTTTATCTTTTTGGTGTCGGATGCGCAATTTGTGCTGATAATGATTTTCTGTTTAGCTAGTGATAAATGAATAAACAAAAACAAAAAAACCAAAAACCGTTTTTGTTTAGCTAGCGCCTATACACCACACACATTTCGATATGCTTGTTGTGCCTGTAGGTGTATGAGCCGCGCTCTCTGTTGCATGAAAATTGCTTAATTAACTATGCATTACGCGTTTATTTTATTTGGTATCTTGAGCATTCACGGTCACAACTTGAAGGTTTTTATTGTTATTGGCGCGCAACGTTTCCACGAAACCCCACAAATCTATATATGCATATGGCTTATCGGATATTAATGTTTAGCACTTGGACATTTATAAATGAAATACACTAACCGATTAATTGTTAACGGAAGCTAAAGAAGCCGCACCGAGCAACAACAGCCGCTTCGATCGTTGCCCGTTTCGCGTACGAAGTTGTCGAGCGTTGAATGGGTAATAAGAAACGGAAAAGGCGCGCGAGATTCAACTGGTTGCGCGAGTGTTGGTTAGCGCCACGCAATCTGCGGCTGGGCAGCACTCATCGATAGCTGCGCAACATCGCGCATATCGAACGCGGACTCATCGATAGTGGAGGCCATACAGCAGTATCGCTAGCATTGGCTTGCTCTGAAAATAAAGTGCAATATTTTTTTTCGCGAAAAGTGCAATACATTTATAGACCGTTTGCAGATATTTGCTACACAAAATGTCGCTGACTATAGTGAAATATCGAAAAACAGCTGATGGCGTTCAGCCCATGACGCCCACAATGATATTTAGACCTAAAATTGAAGTGCAACAACAACAAGCTGTCAAGGTATAGCACACATAAATATATACATACTTACTTATTGCTACCACGAACAGCTGTTTCGAGGCGGTCCGGCAACGCACTGGGCGCTTTGATTACATTTAAGGAATATTGCAATACAATTCTTGTATTATTTTATTGAAAACTGCAATGCATTACAGAAGATAGCAGGCGGCAGCATTGCGCTCGCCAAAATACCTGCCGGGGCTATCATCAGGCCAAGTATGAAACGAGCCTCGAACAGCGCCACAACTCCAGGTTTGCCTAACTTATCTTTTATTGTATGCACGACTTACCGAGTTTACATATCGTCGTAGCATCTGCGCTGGTAAAGGCCCCAAAGTTTGTGAGCCAATCGAGCGACTATGGCAGCTCATCTTCTCCCACGCTCCCCTGGCAAACGAGCTCCCCGTTGCTCAACATTAAGAAGGAAGCGTTGGGCGCTGCAATCAGTTCCCTGCCGCCCAATACGATTATAAAAGCAACTACCAGACAGCCGGTAGCCACGTCCAATAGCCCAGCAGCAGCTGCAGGCGCAACGGCATCAGCTCCAGCCGCAGCGCCCGCAGTAACGTCTGCCGTGCGCCAGGCGGTCTTCCTGAAACGCGATATGCCGCAGCGCACGATGCGCAGCATGACGCTGGGATCCATTGACATGGCATCCACACTGCACTTGGGCGTATCCAGCGCCCATTTGCCGCTGTTCAAACGCCACATATGCAAATACGCAAATCTCTCACATCTGGACTGCTGCATAGCACTGCGAAAGCTGCGCCTCAACGAACCCTTCGCTCTGCTCGCCGAATTCTTCGAGCTGAGCGAGCTGGAGGTGGAGCAAACCTTTAAGCATACGATTGTCAAGCTAGCGCGCTGCCTGCGACCCCTGATTCGCTGGCCCGACGCCAAGCACTACTCTGAGCGCCTGAAGCATATGCCGCTGGCGTACAGAGCGAACATGTTGCATGTGCGATCGGTGATTGAGTGCGTGGAGACGGAGTTGAGCGAGAAGCTAAACTTTGGCTGCGGCAGCTACAAGTTTATACTGTGCCTCAACACGAATGGTGAGTGGTTCAACTGCATTTGTAGTATGCAGCAATATAAATGGAGATTATCCTTTAGGTATTATAAGCTACGTCTCGGACACCTTTCGCGGCGACTGCGATGATCTGCAGTTGTTTGAGGCTAGCAATTTCAAGGATGTCATTCCCAAGTACCTAACACTCTGCGCAGAGCCAGGCAAAGCCGTCAAGCGCTTGCCCAACACTAATGCTGACGATAGCCTAACAGATGAGGAGTACGAGGCGCAGGACGAACAGGAGCCCAACCCAAAATTGAGCAAATATGAGGAGCAACGTCTAGCTGGTCAGCTGGCCAGCATGCAATCACTCTCCGTTTCGAATGGAGCGCTAATCTCATCTCGTGCACCACAGCTGCAGTTGCCCACGCTGCGCGTGAATGAGCCCGCCTGTCGCTCCCAGCTGCGCCAAGCGATCGACACACTGCGAGAGTTCAAGATGCTCGATCACTGCGCCGTGCAGCACGCCCCTCTGCTGGGCTATCTGAACGAGATGTTGATTGTGGCCGCTGCATTGTACAATCTGCAGCAGCAGTAGGAGCAGCTCTGTATCAAACGACGCTCGATCACCGAGAGAGATGCCGATTCATCGCGGCTGCAGCATGGATTTTTCTGCAGCAGCTATAGCAAAAATTTAGCTTAAATTTAAATCAACACCTGTTTTAAGGTTGTTACACGTCCAATTATGTACACAAATTATTAACAATATAAATTGAATTTTTTATACTGAAACCCGTCAGAGAGTAACACTTGATGTTCTCACAGCGATTTGAAATCGTTGACCTTTAGCCGCTAGACTTCGCTAATACTTATGCCAACACAGATATGTACATATAACGAGTTTGTATATTGTTTTCATAACATTTAAAGTCTTTTGTATTTTAGATTTGCATGGCTTATTCTACAAGCTGCCTGAAATGCCTGACGACCTGCTTTTAGGCACTTGCCTTAAATATATTTGTGCAGCTGCTTGACGCTTCGTTTGCTTGCCGCCTTTGCCAGTCGCTCGTGTCAATAGCCTTACTAGTTGGTTAACTTAAATTAATTAAAATCGCATAGTTAAAATAGTCGAGAGTTAATATGCGACATTGAGACTTTTTAGAGGTTCATCCTAACAAACAACTTAGCCCGCAAAAGAAACTTTTTTCTTAGAGTATCTTAGTGTATCATGTGTATATAATTACAATATCTATATATGTTTGTATATGTCAAGATTTCCTATTTCGTCTTAACACTTTTCATAGTTTACTTTAAGTGTATCATATGTATATAAAACCCATATCTTCATGTTTCACGTGTTGTTTAGTCTTAGTCTTCAATTCTAAACAAATGACGGCTGTTTATCTGGCGAATTAAAGGCCTTTTCAGATTGACGACAGCAAAGCTGATGATTCATTTCAGCTAAAAATAGCTGTAAAGTTCGTATATCGTAAATCAAACTCGTGTCAGAATAAGCTATGAGACTATTTTCATCATAACTATGGGAATTTTGTATATTTTTATATATACATTATTCAAACTATGGGAAATAAATAGCGGGAATTTCCAAATTAGCAAAAAAACAAAATTGTAAATTTCCAAATCATTTAATTGTTAATTTACCTTTATATGTTAGTTCCAATGTAAGGCTTTATATTCATATATATGTATGTATATATATATAGTGCTCTATGAATTTTATTATATATGGCATATTATATATTATGCAAAATGAATTCTGTATTAAATTAGAAATTGAAGTTCCCAAATGTGGGTATATATATTCCAATTGTTGTTGTTCCAATCATGTTTGCTTATTACAATAGATTTGGCAAGTGTAGAGACTATTCCTTGATTGAAACTTCAGCCCTTCGCAGGGACCAGGCTCTCTGCCAATCAAGCACTCCCAACTAAAACACGCTGTTCCCAAAAGAGAAGTATGAAATATGTTATTTGTTGTATTCTTTTTGCTTTATTCACGGTATAAAGATTACATAAGTAAGCTAAATACATACATACATATATAGTAAATATATGGTAAAATAGATTTAACGAACGTTTCCAATGAACTAGCCGCAAATGCAAAGCAAAAACTTATTATATATATGTATAATATATATGTAGTATAATTATCAAAAATAAGAACAAAGTATGAGCAAAAATTATGCCATTTTCAACATATTTGTTTCTTTGTCTCGGGAATGTATTCGGGGGGTTTGAAATTTTACTTCATAACTAGGCGCAATGTCAAATAGCGTTTTATATTATTCTCGTATTTCTTTTTGGATCTCAATGGGTTTTGTCTACGGGCCTGGAATGGTTTGAGCTATTTAGCTTAGGCTAAATTAAATTTATTAATTAAAAGCTTGCTTAATTCATAAGTGACTTTTGCATACTAAAATACATAGTAGTTAGGTTTATCATCATCAAGTATTACAAAGTATATGCCTGCCGTAGCTAAAGAAAGATATGCCACAACATGTCGACAATATGTATATATATATATATACATATATGGTATATATATGATATGGATCTGCCAGCCATTTAATAAGAGTTGAACCTTATCGTTTGTGCGCTTTCGTGTAGAATAATAACAAGTACGGTGTTTCGAATGCTGGGTGCATGATCTGGTCTGGATAATGGGCACCTCAGAGCTTCTGTATGATTTCGAATTTCTTTTTCAGATCGACGCTCTCGTTCTTGGGATCGTACTTCTTCCTGGAGGCCAGCTTGGCGCGCATTTCGGCAACGGTCAGCGGCAAATTCAAACTGCCGGCACGATTCGTAGCCCCATTGGGCGCTGGCGCCGGCGCTGTGGGCATGGCGCTGCCATTGCCATTGCCCATGACATTTGTGGTGCCATTGGTGGTGCTGGTGTTGTTGGTGGTGGTGCTGCTGCTGTAGACGCTGCCATTGTTTGTCATGCTGGCCACCGTGGCTGACGGTGGTGGGGGAGTGCTCATCATTTTGCTGTTGTTGTTGTTGATGCTGTTGTTGTTGTTGTTTGTTGGCGATTTGCTGCCATTCTGCGCTGCGACTGGGGCGACACCAACAACCGGCGCTGGCGCCACAGGCACACCCCTGTCAACCACATCCATGTCGCTGGCATTCACTGTGCTGCCGCTCTGAGTGCTGCTCGCGTTCGAGACGCGCTTCATGCTGGTCACACTGATGCTGCTGATGTTGGCGCTGGCGCCGGGCAGCTCCTGCTTGGTGCCCTCATAGCTGGGCGGACTGCCATTATTAGTGTTATTAGTGTTAGTATTAGCATTAGCATTGCCATTGGTCGCCGGCGTCGGCGATGCCGATTTCGCTGGCATTTCGTTCGCCTTGCCATCCACATCGATCAGCAGCAGCCGCACCTCGTTGGCAATGGCCTTGATGCGCGCCACCACCTGCTTGTGTGTCTCGCTGCCAATGGAGACGCCGTTGACCTCCAGGATGCGATCGCCCTCCTTCAGGCCAGCTGCCTCGGCTGGCGAATTCTCGTCCACCTTGCCAATGAACTGGCCCGGCTTCACCTTCTCCGAGTGCAGATTGAAGCCATAGCCATCGAAATCCGGCCGCTTCACGATGTGGCACACTTTGGTCACGCCCGGCGGCAGTGTGGGCGGTGTGGGCGTTTTGGGCGTGGTTGGCGTAGACATGACTGCAAGTGGAAGGGAATATGTTAAAGAAATTAAATTAAATTTATAATTTATTTGTATAAAATCAAAGAAAAACTTGAGACTAAGAATATGTGCTTTATTAGGAGTTATATTACATGTCTTTATATGTTATTTACTGTTGGCACTGCCTAATCCACGTTCTGTTTAATCTATCAAGCAATACAATGGCAATGACTCAATTTGATACTCCAAGCACTGAGCGACTTGTTGCTCTACATGAGCTCTATGATATGAGCCCATTGCAATTGACTCGCCTCAGTTTGCTTTATTCTGCTTCTTTTTTTCAGAACTTGAAGCATGTTCTTTCGTTAATTGAAAGGAAAGAGACTCTATATTAGTTATGGCTGCAATAAACTGCTGGAAAATATTCTCAGAGTGTTTTTGGCTTATCATTCGCCCTATTACAAACATGGAACTATTCACTGAACGTGTTTAGGCCAGTTTCATTCAATCGACACATTGATGAATTCTTTCTTTCTTATCTGCTCAACTGTTGCCTTTGTTACTCTTTTGCTAAATGTCTTGAAGGCTGTGCCATTTGTTTACAAGTAAACCAAATAGAAATTCCACTGGCATGTGCTCATGGGTCAGAATACCAATTGTATTATTGTTGGGGGCTCTTATCGTGGGCGTTACGTCAGGTAACGTGATTTTCGGCATATATTTGGCACTTCCATTCGTTGCCGTTAAGTACAGGTAATACCATGAGTTGCCACAATGCAACTAAATAGGCTGTAGAACAACTATTCAATTGATTATTGAGCTTACCTACGCGCATGTTTCACCTGTCAAAAGAGGTTCTGTTATGTTTGGCCAACAATTGTTGTCAACTTGAAAGTCATGTAAATAAATTTTTGTTTCAATTTATTTATATTATTATTACTTATTCAATGAGACTTGAAGCGAGTTGGGAAGTTGAATAATTATTTAGATCAAAATTTTAATATTTTTTAAATTATATTAAATATGTGAGCCTAATGCCTCTAATGCGTTATTCTCAACTAAAATTGCAGGAAATAAAATAAAAAGAAGATATGTATTAATTTACAATTCTTTAAATAATGAAAAATATTTGAATATATTTTTATTTATTTAATTTGTTTTTTTTTTCTTCTTTTTTTTTTTTGTTTTATTACAATATTTCAAATTGCTTATATTTTTAGTTGAATCACTTATTTTATTTATTATTCCATTTTATTTATTCAACACTAAAAGTAAAGTGGATTTACCTAGAATAACTTCATTAGAATTATCTGATTAGATTATTTGATTTGCATCTAGTTAGCTAACTCAAATTAAACTGAAGCCAATTCTTCCAGCGAACAGTCTAATAATAAATAACTTTCAATGTTTTTCATCTATTCAAAGTTTCCGAACTTTTTAACAGCATAATAAAATTCTGAGAATTTTTAAGCTCGGCTCAGCTGGAGACTTGGGAATAAAAGCAGCGATTGGCTGAGAAGAAAATTCATTTAATGTATGGATAGAGTGGAGACTAAGGAGAGTTTTAAGAGCTGTCTATATATACATACATATGTATACATATGTGTTATACACCTCTAAGACTCTCGTTACTCTCTACTCTACACTCTCTATTTCATTTAGGTCTCTCTCTCTAAGCCTCAGCTCATAATAGATCATATATATGCTGCCTTTGCTTTCCGCGTATCAATTATCTGTTGGCAATTATATATATATTTGTTTTTTATTAATATATGTTTCTATTTACTATTTTTTGCTGCTGCTTGTGACGTTTTTGCGAGATGTCAGTTCCGCTTCCTAAAACAACGAACAGTACTAAAAACCCACATACGTACATGAATGTACTATGTACAATTGCTATTATTATTATTGGTATTATTTTTGGCTTGATTCTCCCGCTATTCGTTGTTCAATTCGCTTCATTGTTTACCTTTGCTGTAGTATTAAAAATCGCTTACTCGAGGGGGGGCTGAGAGGAGGGGCCGTTGAATTTGATTGTCTGGCTGGCAAGTCAAGGTCGTCTATTGAGCGCATCTTAAAACTTGAACAACAGAATTTTTATATAATGAATTCAGCAAGCAAGCGGGCAAAGGGGTCGCAGGGGCAGAAGGGGGCGGGTCGCCATTCAACAGAACCGATCAGAAAAAGCAAATGTTAATTCGCAGGGCTTCAATTACGAGTTTTTACCTGCCCGCCCGTTGCGTAGTCATAAATCTTACAGACATTTGCTTCCCAAAGCTGATTCACAGACAACAAATAAATGATTATGTATGAAAATATGTTTATTCAGTTTGCCCTCATCTTCGTCGTCTGTTCCTCTTCTTATTTGGTTGTTTTATAATTGAACTTCAAGCGTAAATAAATATAAAGGAAGTGCCGCAACGAAATACCAGCTGCGAGAGCGGTTCTCTTGACATTTTGGGCTTGTACCTGTTCAGCAGTAAGTTCAGGGTCATTGGAGTTCTAAAAGGCTTTGAAGCTAACGCGCTAGCACGTAACAATATGTTTTAGCCTTCAAAATAAATATCTAAGAGATTTGAGATAACTCTAGCAGATTTGTGCGAATGCTTCAGATGAATTAATTGGCTAGAATATTTTTGGAAGAAATTGAGATAAGACAATACTGAGAAATTTATAATAATTTCTTATTATTAATAATGTATATAGAAGGAAATTAAGATAAGATAATCGGAAAAATATAGTCAAGAATAATTTAAGGAATATATAGTATAATATATATATTTATATTAAAGAGTTTGTATATATTTGCATAGGATGAGACAATAGATTCATTAGAATTAAATTAGCTTGAGAATATATTTTTAGTTTTTTTTTTTTTTTTTTTCTATTATAGTTTTATTGCAGCTTTTGTTGTTGACTCTATAGCGCATTTATAATATTTTTAGTATCACAAAAAATATATTTTGAGCATTAAAAAAATATTCAAAAATATATATATCAGCGTTTATCATGAATATATGTTTATTTAAAGAACAAATTATAGATAAATTTGAATACATATAATAGTCAATAAACATAGACTATCAGAATAGAAATAAGAAATAATATAATTGTATATTATAAACGGTGAAAATAAAACTTCATTAAGTCTATTGTTAAGAAGCTAAAAATATTTTATTTATTGCTATAAAATTATGATTTTTTTTATTCAAGAATATATCTATTTCGATGTAGATAAATACATATACACTAATTAATAACTCTCAACTAATTGAAATTAAAAAGAAAACAACAAAAAACTTTGACATGAAAAACAGTTTAGTAAACATATGTCAAATATTTTGCACAAAATGGGCATTTTAATAATAGTTTTTGTTTCTAATATTAAATAGACAAAAGGCTGTCAAAAGAGTTTACTTTTATGGTTTCATATACAATTTATATACTATTCATAAATTTGTTGGCAAAACTGAGAATTTAGCTGGACAGCGCTCAAGCTTTTGGGGCTTTTTGAATCATGCCCCCCTCAGCCCCTCCCCTACGTTGAGGAAATGTGCGCAAAACTTTAATTGAATTTGCAATCAAGCATGAAGTACACACACACACACACACACACACACACACAAATGTACACAAGCTTTAGCACAATGGAGGAATATGCCCCACTTGTCCCGCCCCTTTGGCTGCCCTCGTCTTTGGGGCACAGTGAATACCCGCATGAACGGCTATGGGTGACAGCAGCCTCCCATTGTGTTTGTTGTTTGTTTATTTAAGCGGTTTCTCATCATTAAAACAAATTAGCCGTTAGGCAGCAGCACAGGTAGTAGCACAGGTAGTTTGTCAGTCTGTCCACCTGTCCGCCCCAATGTCCGATTCTATATCCGTCTACGTCTACCCAGCACTCTGAGCGCACATGACAAACGCGCTTAAAAAAAATACAGACATTTGATTGCCGTTAAAAACTATTGTGGAAAATATTTAAACACCGTTCGCAAAAGTTTCAAGTGGGGTATACACTACTGTAAGCACCGTGACTTGAAAGTTCTTGGTGAGAAGAGAGAGAGAGATAGAGAGAGCGAGTTTCTAGCGAACTATGTTGGATTTCAAAGTCAAGCACAGTCTCGAATCACTGGTCGAATCTACCAGAGTTAATGAGAAATGTAGGGCTCTTTATCAATAGTGATGTAATTTTTTATTATGCTGGAAACTTTCGATTGTAATTTTGTTATCGGTTTCATTATATTTTGCTTTGCGTAATGTTCGTCATGCTCTGCGTCTGGCTGAACGTAATTCATTTCGCCGTCATTGCATCCATAGAGTGGGTATTCGAAATATATGCACATAAGCTCAAGTCTTGAAATTTCGAATGCCCATTTGCATATACTTTCAGCAGAAAAGAGTTTGAATATCGTTAGCATATAGCTATTACTATAATATTACTTTAATTTATAACATTTTTAAGTACAAATCTTTAAATCTTTGTAGCATTACAATATAAATATATATAAATATTATAATTTCTGTTATTTTGAAGACCATCACCAATTAACATAAGATAATTATTTATTCTCAAATAAATTTAGTTTTTCTCGATCCTTAAAGAAGTATCGTTCAGTCAGTAAGGTCTCACTTTAATATTCTTACTTGTTTTCTTTGCGATTTCAGCGGACGTGTTGCACAATTAAACGGAAATTCGTAATGCGAGAATAGCTCGCAACATATTTGTGAATATAGAGTTTGTGCACATACAATATTTGTATTCGAGCGTCAAATCATAATTTGCATTTTTTTTTTTTGGTGTTTTAGAGAAATACTTTTTGTTAGCTCGCAAATTAATTAGCTCGCTCGTGTCGCGAGCTACTTTAAATCAAATATTAGCACGTTCTCGAAAGCCCCATGCAAATTGAAACTGATAAGCGAGCTACATACATACAATAAAGGAAATGCCGTCCAAGCCCCGCGGACAGCACACTGGAATTTATTATTAGATAACTGAACCGAACCGAACGGGGCACAATTTCGAGTAACTATTTTCGTA